TCCCCGCACCGTGCCTTGCCACGTGTCCTCTCTGCCCCGCTGCCTTGGTGGGCACCCAACCCCGCGCTCCCACCCGCTCCACGTCCCACTGGGACCCCGGGGGACTGGCGTCCGCGTGGCTTTGTCACACCGGGGCGAGAGCCCACGTCGCTGCCTGCGCCTGCCTGCCTGCCCCCGCTCTGTCTCCAGGAGGAAAAAAAAGCAATGAAAATTATCTTATATAAAAAGGAAAAAAAAAAACAAAAACACACAAAAAAAACACCTGTAAAGAGAATCTTGGTTTTTATCATAAATATTCTAATAAATTAATGTTAATTTTTAGTGGGGGTTTTTCCAGCTGTTCGAGCTCCCCTGCCACAGGGTCCCGGCTGTTCCAGGTGAACGAGGTGGCTGTGAGACCTCGTCCCCATCACTGTTCGCCCTTCGCCTTCCCACTGAGGTGGAGCCCCAGCCAGGGGGGGAACTTTTTAAGCCATTCCCAGCTTTGACAAAGACAGAGCCTCGGCAGAGCCCAGGCTCCTGCATCCCTTCCCGGGGCTGTGCTGGCGTAAGGGTGTGTTGGGAGGGGAAGAGCCGTTTGTCTCGCTTTGCAGGGGGAAGCAGGCAGCAGGCTGGTCCTTTTGCAGAGGCAGGATCGTCCCGTTGCAGCCCTGAGGTGCCGGCCGGGTATCCTGGCACAGCTCTGCCCACCCTGAGCCCCCCATGGAGAAAGGGGCAGCACCTGCCTGTCCTGGGTCCCTGCCTGCACTGCAGTGGGGTTTTGGGGGGCTAATCCCTCTGTCCCCAGGGGAGGGGACTCAGAGACGTTTAAGCCCTGTGATTTTTTTTTCCTGGGTTTCCTCAGGGGCTGAAGCCAAGCCCTCGGAGAGGAGCTGGTTCCCACCAGCATCCCACGACCGGAGAGGGTGAAGAGGCTCAAGGCAGTGCTGGGGCGAGGACCTGCACCCCGACCCAAAAATCCCCCAGGAAACACCTTCCCACAGCTCCAGCAGCACTTGCACCTTCTCCCCCCACCCCAGACGCACCCCCACCCCCACGACCAGGGGTGCCCCGGGGCGGCCGGAGCTCCTCGCTTTTGGGCAATTGCAATGGGAGCGTGTTTCATCGCTGCAAATTAAAGCTCTGATTCAAGGAGGCCGTGACTCACCCCCTCGCCATCCAGCAAGCGCATCATCGCTGGCCTTGCTCATGTGCTTAAAATACCTGAAGCCCAGGGTCCCCCCTATGGCCCCGGGCTGGGACTTGGCTCCGCCATCGCACTCCAGGGGTCCCTGGCACAGACAAGGTGGCCGGGAATGTGGGGCTGGCGATGCGGTGGGGCCCATGGGGCAGGCGATGCCGGGGGGCCCGTGGCAGAACCGGTTTGGTGGGTGCCATCTTGCGCCCCACACGGGATTTGGGGTGGCTCGTCCCTGGGATAGTGGTGCCGGCGGGGGGGACCCCAAAGCAGGAATGGGCAAAGCCAGGCCTTGGCTCTGTCCTCGCTAGAGGAGAGCAGTGGTTTGGCCAGCCCAGCCCCGGGGTGGCAGCAGCCCAGAGGCCGGGTGATGGTCACCCATCGCGGGCACAGAGGGGCAGCAGGAGCGCGCGGCAGCCCCGAGCTGCTGCCCGAGCATCTCACCCGCCCCACGTGCCGGCGAGCGTCACGTGCAGCCGCCCTCTTGATTTCAGTCATACCTTTAATGCGCGAACTCACCAAACCAAGGCATTTCCAGGATATTCTTGTTTCTGTCTTCAAGGGTGAGTAACTTTTTTTAATGAGGGAGGACTAATGATCCCTCCAGGGATGGGCTGTCACCGCTGAGCCACTGCCAAAGCACACACAGCGCCAAGGCCAGGGGGGTGGATGGGCCCCGGCGCGTGGCCCTGGCCCCACAGACCTGGCGGCGATGCCTTTTCCCGGTGCATGGCCCCCCCGTTCCCTGTATCCCCCCAGCACCTGGCTCCGCTGCTCCCTCCCAAAGCATGTTGGGGCCATGGTGGTGGCACCAAGGACGAGGAGAATGGAGGGACCCTGAGCAGCACGACATTGTCCCTGCACACGCCTGTGCTGTTTATCCACCTTCCCATAACCCTGATCCATGGGGATTAAGGAGCTGCTGCCTCTGCAGCTGCAGGAATCTGCCCCGGCCAGGATGTCTGGGCTTCCCCGTACCTCAGTTTCCCTCTGCGTTGTCCAGCACAAAGCCCAGGTTTGCAGCAAGGAGCAAATGGCCCCACAGCTGCATGAGCAGCAAGGACCGAGACCCCTCGGGAAAGGCCATGAAGTCACCCCTGCTGTCACCCTGTCACTATCTCCAGGCTCAGCAGCCCCCCAAAGCGGGACTCCCTGCCTGTTCCCCAACTTTCCTGAGAGGGCTTTTAGCGGGACGACCAGCGAGGGGATGCTGAGCAGCTGGCAGGTGATGGGACGGGGTGTGCTGGAGCTGAGCTCGAGTGTCACCAGGGGCCCCAAAACCAAAGTGAAGGGATCAGCTGTGTTCTCTACCAGGCTCAAATTAATGGCATTGAGATGGGTCATCCCCTGCTGTGGCTTTAAAAGTCATACCAAGAAAAACAGCACGTGGTGTCACCGGGAAGCCACCGAGCCCAGGACACGCAGGACGAGCGGCAAGGGGACTGAGGGGACAGGGACCTCCCTGGACAGTGACGCCCAAGGGCAGATTTGAGGGGGCAGCTCAGTCCCTGTCCTGCCCTGGGGGCACATCAGTGCTGTGTCCCCCTCCCCATGCCCCAGCAGTGCCGTGTCCCCCCCAGCCCTCCCCAGGCAGCATTTTGCAGCAGCCGGGGGAGATGACGGGCGCCATTCCCCAGCTCTGTGTCACCCACAGTAATAACACCCTGTGCTCCCTTTCATCTCAGGGCTTCCAAGGTGGCCCTCTCCGGGGCGAGGGCGTCCTGGCGTCATCACTTATCATTAATTCCAGGAAGCAGCCAGGGATGTGGTGGGGTCTGGGGGTCCCGGCTGGTGACATGAGGACCCCAGCCTGAGAGCAAAGTGACATCCCTCATGCTGGGCAGTAAACAAGGGTGCTCATCATGCAGCTGCTCTGCCTGCAGCACCGAATTTGGCCTTGTTGGGGGCACTTGGGGCCATGGAGGCAGCTGGTGGCACAGCCCTGGGGACAGGGGTGTCCTGGCAGTGAGGGTCTGGTGACAGCGAGCAGCGGTGGCACCTCTGGGACGGGCTGTGTGGGAGTGAGTGGGGCTGGACGGGGGTGCAAGTGACCGGGAGGTGTCTGGGAGTGGTGTTTGCTGAGGGAGACTTCGGACACAGCCGATGACAAGGGCTCCACTTCCCAAAACCCCAGCCGGCGCGGGGAGGCAGCATGTGCTTGAGGACAGTGGCATGTGTGTGGGGACAGCAGCATGTGTACATGGGACACTTGCCATTCGTGTGGAGATGGCGACACGTGTGCATGGGGATGGCAGGCAAATGCACAGGGACGAGGGGACGGGTGGCATCTGCATGGGGGCAGCTTGTGTCTGCATGGGGACGGCTGGTGTGTGTGTGTGGGACATGCACAGAGCTGGCTGGTGTGTGCATGGGACGGCCAGTGCGGGCATGGGGACAGCTGCCATGGGCAAGGGGACAGCCCGTATATGCATGGGGACAGCAGTGAGGGCACGGGGACAGCCTGGGACACGGCTGGCATGTGCGTGGTGGCGATGCCGGGGGTGGCTGCTGTGGGATTGGGGCAGGAGGAATGCCCCCACCCCAACGGGGAGCATTGCTGCTCCCCTGGGGCGATGCTGTGTGACGTTGGTGGCTCTGGGAGAAGGGCTTGGTCTCTCCTGCTTGCTCAGGGAGTTGGCACACACCCTGCTTAATGGCGGGTGGGACTGAGCTGGTCCCACGCAGGTCAGGGAGTCCCTGAGGTCTCTCTCCAGGTTGGGCTTTCACCTCCTGGCTTGCTCTCCCAGTTCCTCCAGCCCTTTCCCCCCAGCTCCCCCACTGAGCAGGCCACGATGGGCCCCTCTCCATGCCCCTGGCAGCAGGGTGCCCTGTTTCTCCCCGTGCACACTCCAGGGCACGTCCCAGCTCCTCCCTGGGTGATTTCCTAGTGGGGTGAAGCCAGTGTTCCCTGGGCAGAACCGGGATGCTGCCAACCCCAGATCCATGGGGCGAACAGGGCCACAGCACCCCTGAGCCCCCCCATCCCCCTGCCCAGCCCCCAGCACACCCTCACAACCCCAAAGGGGCTTTTCAACCCTCATGCCATCACCCAGGAGGCAGGATCCACCCGCATTTCACCCCAAGACGGGTGATTATTACCTAATTGCAAACAAAACAAACAAATAAAGGCCAGGCTGGCCCTTGTTGAGCTGGAAGGAAACGGCCTCGGTGCCATTCCCAGCCCTGGGTTTGCTGCTGGCGGCTCTTTGGGATAATCATTTGGTGATGGATGTTAACGAGCAGCTCAGCCAGTCCGGCTGGAGCACGTCAGCTCTTTTTAATGGGCCGATGTTTTCTCTGGAGCCATCAGCACGCTGGTCCCTCTCGGCCCGGGCAGTGCCAGCCTCTATCTCCTGGCTAGTCACCAGGCCACCGGCTCTTCCCTCAAGGATCTGCAACATCTTGTTCATCCCAT